GCAGCCAGAAATGATGTGGTCAAATTTAACCAAATTTGTCCTTCAAGATGATCCACCTAATACATATGTCTCTCTGTAAGACCAACTCGAGGAATCCAACATTGAGTACTTGCATCCAACAATGGCCAAGTGCCCCAGAAGATCCTCTATGTATGGACCTTTGCTCAATCCAATTGCACTTGAAAATCAAAAAAAATCTGAGTAGTATATGTTATATTGAGTATCCTGGGGGCAGCTTGTACACATTACACAATCTCTTTCCAGTCAACAAGATCTGGAATGTGTGTGTTGATTACAATCTATTCCTTGAAGGAGCATCTCTTGACTTAATCTTTGAGGGTGAGCCCCTGCCTACTGAATATGAAAGCATCTGACAAGAAGTGCGAGCATGGAGAGCTCATAGGAGGTTTTTTTTTGCTATATTGGATCCATCAGATCAAGAGTTAACACTGCTCAGCAAGGCCAAAGCTGCATCTCAGGAAGCAAAAGAGGCACAAACCGCAATGAGAACCGTGACCAGACCTGTTCAAACTGATGAAGTGTGTTCTTGGATTCTATTTTCAACAAAATTAGATTATTTCTAATTTTGGATGATATAATTATTGGGACTTTATTAGGGTAGGAATCCAAACCCCGTCCCAGAGCAACCACTTACTCCTAACGCCCCCAAACAGCAAAACCGCCAGTGAAGGTTGCAAAAGTGGCAAAGAAGGCAAGGAATAAGTGAGCCAGGTCCAGTCACACTACAGTGTCATCAGCTTCTTGGCGATCAAGTCTTGCTAAATTTCCAACTGCCCCCATCAATATTGTGAATTCTTAGCGGGTTTATCATGAATTAGATTTTGTTGTAACATTTTTGATCAAACCAAAAGGGTATCAATCAGCACCTCCTTTTTTATTGAATTTGTTCCTGTCACATATTGATGGTCCCATGATCTTAGAAAATTTGCTGGCAACTGAGAGGTGGTATTATGCATGTGGCTCCAATATATTGGCTTAAGTCCACAACAAAGGGTTAACTGTTGTACTAGTGATCTGAGCTGCATTTTGTTGGAATGAAATAATGAGATTAGCAATCAAATTATTTCAGCCTCTTGACTTTTTATATTGTTTATTGATGCATGGAATTAAGATATACCAAAATTATATTGATTGACATTGTAATTAATTTTTCAACATCTGTCAGGTTGGTCTGTCCCAATTCAGTGAAAATCAGCAACACACTGCAACAAAGAATATGTAAATATGACTCAAATTTAGATTAAAAAAGTGCTTGAGCCAATAAGTTTGGTGCTCAAGCCAGAGATTGTTACCTACAAAATACCCAGGCTGCTTTCCAGACTGTATCAACAAGCTATGCATGACTACTTTGGCCAAAGCTGGCAGAAAGTCTTGATCCACAAGGACAAGGAAGTGTGTTAGATGCAAATCATAACAAGGGAGACCCTTCATACCATGAGCCATCAAAACCCAATTCTTCCATATAAACTTTGAACACCCAAAGTCTCCCGTGCTAGTTGCACATTCAGCTTCAACAATGTTTAAAAAGTTGTGTATTTGAAGTTGCATATCATATCCTTTTATGTCCTTTTTTAGAAAGACATACTCTTAACGACTCAGGGCAAAAAAACTTATTATAACATTTGTCAATGACAGCCTGAGCAAACCCTTCCTGAAAAAGGTTGGGACTAGTCTCATATTCAGCAAGTGTGTTCCTTGGGGAGAGAGATAATGGGCCGCTTAGCAACATTAATGCTTCATCCACATCCACTTTTGAACCACTTTTGATATACAACTTCTTCTTGACTCACCTCAAACAGGAAACCAATGTGGCCATGTTGATAGAGTGCACAGGTTGCAAAACTGTTCTACAATCCATCTTTGAAGGTAGTTTACATAGCAAACCCCCAATTGTGGGATACAAAGTAGAATCCAGGCATGTGCCCGGAATTTTTTTGGCAGTAAATTTTGATTTTCTGGGCAAAAGTCTGGGCCCAGAATTCAAATTTACTGCCAAAGAAATCTGGGCACAAGGCCGGGCACGTTCCCGGATTCTACTTTGTATCCCGCAAATGAACTGCCACACTTTCCAAGCACCAGTCTTTTGTCTCACGGCTATTGCCCCAATGATGAGTCAAAATACCTTGAGCTATGTTCCACATGGTATGAGCAACACCCGGAATTGTCATCACACTAGTCAAGCCACCCACCGCTGTTCCAGCTGGTGCTCTTTTCTTGCGGAGATTCTAAGTGTTTTGACATCTTCCTAGGTCTCCTTCAAATATTTGAACCAACTTTTCCATTGCTTCACACGTCAGGCCACACTGTTTTGCTATTTCATACAAAACTTCACCTACCACATTAGCCAAGTTATTTGCTGTGTCCATCAGTCTCAAGAGGAATAAGTGACAATCATCAACAGGTATTGGGTCAATGGCTGAAGGTGTTTCCGTGATGTGAGTCAAAGGGCCTTTTCCAACCTTGATTATGTATTTGTACATGGCGGAAGCTAACTGGCTTTTCAAGGTTGCACACCATTGGTTCATATTGTTCAATTTTGTGAGAAAGAGCTCAAGATGGACATGAAGCTTTTGAGAACTTTACATGGCCTGGTGGTAGTTTTGAAGGTGAGTGCTTGCATTGTCTGGGCATATCTCTTTCTTCAGATAATCCCGTAGGAACTGAATATATCCCCATGTTCTGTGGAAGAGTTTAGACATAGACTCTACCTGTGTGTTGTGGATTCTTTGCAAGATGTCAAAGTTGTTCATGCAGATGATAGGACCTATACCATAATTCCTGGACATTAAATCTTGGGGTGTGGCCTCTCTTGTAGTACAAAGATGTTCTGCATGACAACCCACATGCCAGGAAAGTTAAGGAGTTATGTAACTGCAGGGAATCATTGCAATAATGTGACAGAAACAAGAACATGACACATATTGTTGTTGCCACCTAATAATATACTGCAAATTTGGTCATCATAATGTCAATAAAAAACTTTCAAGATACAAACTCTTACCAGATTGGCCCAGTTGATCTATGCTGTTTGTTTATCTTCAGGTACATACTCAATCCCATCATCATGTTGGGCCTCTTCCTGAACCAAATTCTTGGCCATAATGTCCACCAATCCATCCTGAAAATTTCCCAAATGCAGATCATCATCATCCAGTGCTTCCCCATCCAGTGTTGCATTGTCATGAGTGTCACTTGTCATGAGCTCTTTGTGGTTATTTGTCCTAGCAGATAGTTGATGATACATTAAATGCCACAGGAATGGCATTGAATCCCTTATGGTAGCATTGTGTTTGCCCAGTTCCTTGATCTTGAAGAAATGTGTTGTGATATTTTGAGAGCTGTAAAAGATTCGAGGTTTGGTCCAGACTTTGTTTCTCATTTGCAGCTGTGCCTGTTATCAAAACAATCTTCATTACTCAAAACTTGTAATTCTCTGTGTGAAATGAATAGTCTCACCTCTTTTAAAATAAACACATTCCATCCCGCATGTCCCTCCTTGCTGTTTTTGGACAGGTTTTTTATTCCATACAACGTCTGTAATGTTCAATTGAAAACCCTCTCAGTTCCCCAATACCGTTGACACTCCTTCACCACTGGGGTTGTTGAAGACAGTAAAGCGTGAATTACCTCTTTTGGGGTGATATACTCCTTCTTCATAGCCGCACATACCTCTCTGGCAAAAGAGTCAATGAAAGGTTGTTCTCAAATTGTAGTAGGTTCAACTTTCATTTGTCTTCTTTTGTCAATAATCATTTTTTTTGGATATATAGGGCACATTACTTGGGGAATTCAGACCACCTTTTTTTTTGGGCAGCCTATGACAACATGGTATTTTGCCAATGCCACCCTTGAGGCTATAACCACGGAAAATTTCTAATTGATTCATGGGTTGTACTTGAGATACATGCCGCTTGTGGGACAAGTTTGTGTCCAGCAGTTAAGTCATGAGGTCCTTTACTGTTTTTACCAAGACAAAACCCACACGCCTTTTGGACATGAAATTGGGAGTTTACACCTGTTTACGCCCAAAGAAATATTCCGGCCTTTTTGGCTGAAACATGTAGTTACACAAATCATTAATCGGGCATCACGTTTTGCAAGCGCTTACTTCCAAAAGTAGCATCTGTGTGTGCTATGAGGTTGTGTACCTTTTGATGGAGGATAACATACTTGAAGCTTAACATTTTCTACGGTGAGCTGAAGCGGAGAAGTCAAGAAAAAAACATAAGAGGACTTATTTCTCGGAGCTCACACGCCAAAACTTGCAAGTCCAATAAGGGGTTTCAAGTTCAAGATTTTCCGTATTTTTATGTTTTGAAAACTTGGACGAAGACATAAATTTTACGTAAAATATTTTTAAAACGGGAGACCTTTTTACGTCTCCCGTTTTAAAATTAGCGTAAACATACACTTTTAAAAATCATTCGGTCAACGATTTGACCTTTTCAATCATGGTATTGACCACATCTTCAAACATGAGATTGGTCAAGAAGGCCATCTCGTCATTATCTTCAAAGGAAATGTCGCCAAACCTTGGAACGATACAATCACCGCTTCGATTCGTTTTACGACGGTAATTATTCGATGTGCTTGATTTTTATAAACGGTCAAATTTAAAATCTTACAGTGTCGTATAAAACTTGACCGAATTTTTAAAAACCCGTATAAAAGATTTAAACTTGAAACCCCTTAATGTAAGCGCCTCTTCGAGGGCTCGGAGAACGCGCTTGTGAGGGGCTTTTTTAAGCTTAATATCGGCCCGTGATCTCTCCTCCCTTTGAATTCTCTGCAGGCTTTGGGGGCCATCTCTGCGCTTGGCCAGCGAGTCTATCCATTTACGGTACTCAAAGCGTTTATGTTTATGTATATAGTTTGTACATAGTTGCTCGTACATACTTTTTCTGCACTATATTTGGTCCCACCGAAGTATTTTTTTTATGGCCAGTTTCTGAGTTTGTTACCGTGTGCCCTGAACCACCATGCCCAATCAATCCCCACCACCACCGAGCATGGATTCAACAGGTCTTCCCACAAATACCCCTACCACTCCCTTCAACAACTTGAATACGAATCTGTGGAGTGTACCACATGCGTTGACCAGTCCGGCTGCAGGTCAAGTGCAATTGATATCACCTTATTCAACACCCCATCCTTTGATTTCCTCCGGTACTCCGGTCATCATTACGTACCCTGCAGCTCAGCCAATCACATCAGCTTCTCAGCCTTCGCCGTCGGTCATGCAATCCTCTGTTTCATTAACCCCTGCCGAGTCGACACAAACTGCCAAAACAACACAACCTACCGAGACAACTCAAACTCCTGAGGAGCCTAAGATCACTCGTCGTGGTCGTAAGAGAAGTTCTAAAAAGGGTCCAGCGTCTTCGAAAAGGAAAACTGCAGCATCAGCCACAACATCCGAGTCTCTAGCTGAAGACAAGTCCGGTTGAAAACAGAGGTCATGGGATAAAGATCTCAATTCAGACGGCAAGACAATGGTGGACTTGATAGTTGAATGGATGTGCTTAACTTGGGGTGATCAAGAGAAACCAAGTGATTCGGAGTGGATGTGTATGGAAAGTTCAGATACGATCTCGAATAATTATGCCAGATATCGAATGGGTCTGCCCGGGAAGAAAGAATGTGCAAGACGCTGTGCTATTTTCATTGGTGCAAATGGATTTGAAACCCCCCTGTGGGAAGGAGTGAAACAGAAGGTATGGTCATCGTTTGCTCTGAATCCTTTCTGAAAGATCTTTGTTAATTGATTGTTAATCTTTCATCCTTTTCGAATGGAGAAACTGTAGATTGATAACTTGGAAACTAAATTCAAAGAAGCACAAGGTTGGTCTAAACAGACAGGCGAAGGAGGTGGTCTCACCATCAAACAGAACGCGGACTTCGAAATTGAGGTGTTACAATTGATTGGAGAGTGGACTGAGGAGCGGGAACAAGAAATTAGAATGATGGCCGCTCAGACTATCAAAGGTAAGCTGTGTTCTGATACTTACTGCACATGTTTCAGTCCCTGATATGTGTACTCTTCGCACAGAGTGCTTGCATAGTAGATGCCCCCACTACGACATCCTCACCCCTATCATGGCTGATCGTGCCGGAACTGCGCCTTTGTACACTGCCGAAAGTGGGGTTGAAGCTCAGCCAAACCCCTCGACCCCTTTGATTAATCCCCCTTCGCCTTCGGCTCAACCTCTAGAGACTCAGTCAACTGAGTCTAGTAACTGGAATCCGCCTCAATGTTTAGGTCCTGAAACCGAAAATTCAGAAGCTTTTCAAGATGCTCAAGACATTTCCCTATCTATGAGTGAAAACACGAGTAATCCTAATTTGGCTCAGTCTTCCTCGTCTCGCTCACTCGAACGCTCTTCCAGTTCTCATTCCCAATTGACATCCAAGACTCTCCCACATCCAAACTTCATTCAACCAATAAAGAAACCCATTAGCGAGAACCCCAGAAGAACCTCAGCTGGTACCTTAGGTGTGCTCAAATCGTTTCAATCCTCATTACCAACTCAAGCCGATTACGAAAGAATGCAATCTGAAAATCTCGCGGCCGCTGAAAGCAATCGCCTGGCATTTCAACAAGCCTCATCAAACTCAAATGCTGTAATGAACATGTTAGAAGCCCGATTGGGAAATCCAAACCCTTATGAAAAACGTAGTCTGGACCCTGAGGATCTAACTCCAGAGGCTATCGAAAAAAGAAAAGCCAAAAAAGCGAAAACTGAAGAACTCGAAATGCTCAAACTAGAACGCGAATTAGCTCAGGAGCGAAGGGCTTTAAATGAGAGTATCGAAGGATCAGGATTGTCCAAACTTCAATTGGCTAGAGAAAAAGCCGAGATGATTTCCAAATTCTGTCTTGCCAATATGTCCCTTGAAACTGCTCGGGAGATGGCTCAGGAAATACTTGATAGTTTAAAGTGAAGGATATCGAGACAGGTTATGGTTATTTGTTTCATGTTCTTCAAAATCCTATTCAATCCAATTGAATATTCCAAATGTGTGTTCTCGTTATCTTTTTAAAAAAAATTAAAAAAGGAAAAAAATCTAAACAAAACCTTTAACAACTTTGTTATCAAAAAAAATTGTCGTTCCGAAAAATTCTCCTTACACTTTTAAATAAAAAAAATTCTTGTTATGAAGAAAAAAAAATTTGTTTTATAAATTTCTCGTTGTTAGTTTTTGAAATAAAATTAAAAAACTTGGTTATGAAAGGGTTGCTCAAGTTTGATCTCTCGAAGATATAAAACTCTTTTATTAATTGTGAGCTTCTTTTCCACCACGAGAAGTTGAAATTTTCAACTTCTTTGGTTTGAACTGGGTAAAACGAAGACTTTCCAATTCTTTCGATGTTTTTGAACTCTTGAATTTCAAAAACCTGAAAGAGAACAAAGTCTTCTCATTCGAGTCCTCATTGAAGTCACAAATGGGACAAATAGATGAGATGGCATATTTGATAGCATTTCATTTCTTTAAATATGATCTGGTTACAACAAATTTTAAGTATATCACCATTCAAAGTGAGCTAAGTGTTTTGACGTGCTCGATAATTTCTAAACTGCTGCAGTAGTTCGTTTCGCCTGCGATATGAAGCGTTTCGTTCTTCGTTGGGTTGAAGATCTAGCGGTTCATTTTCGAGAGGTAAAACAGCTTTGTCTTGATGATTCTCTTGCATCCATTGGTCCCGGAAATGAATAGTAAAGTTGTGCAATATGCAACAAACCTTGATCCATCTTACAGCGTGTTTGGCCAAAGAGACATCCTTGATCGTTATTCGCAAACTTTGCAACGATTGAAAACGCAATTTGAGTTGACCGTTACTGTGCTCACTTACAACCCTCTGTTCACTGAGAGCACGGTTGAATTCTCTCCTCACCACATCTAAGGTCTGTAATCGCGGACTTTTGAAGGTTGGAATGAGGTGCTGGGAGCATGTATAGCCCGAGTCCGCCAAAATGTATTCGTTATCACTAAAAAAATTCTCCGGACGTTGTGCAAGCTACATACACAAAAAGGACATATGAGTTTAAGTAAGCCTTGAACAAAGGGAAAAGACTTACTTGAGAGGAAGCGTAGACACGTTGGTCGTGTGAACTACCACACCATCCATGCAAATAATAAATGATTCGACCTCGGTGATCCGAAACCAACATGGTGTTGAGAGCATATGTATGCTTACGAGTCCAGAAGTCTTCCGGATCCTTGCTCGGTGCAAATGCAAGTGGAATGAGGGTGCCATCTATGAATCCTACACAATCTTGAAAGAATGATTTTCTACCAATCTGACTCTTGATTTCATTTCGTTGCTCTTGATTGGGCCAGTTAACATAATCTTTTTCAAGTTTCAAAATAGCCTCAAAACAACGATGCGTAAAATTATGAACCGAACCTTCTAAAAAAACCAAATGTAAGTGTCAAATTCAGGAGCTGAACTGGGCAAACATTGTACCAACCACTAAATCCAAAGTGGCACCCTATCATATAGGCACTACCCCCATTCCCACTTGACCCGAGCCGGCATAAAGTGATGAGTAATTGCCAATCAACTGGAGTTTGAGGCAAAGATGAGTTATTGACGAAAACTAGATCATATCGGATCAGATCCGCCAAGCGCTCGAAGTTTTGTCGTGACATCCGTGCCTGATGGAATCACATGAAGACATTCAGAAACAAAAGTCAGTATGAGAAATGATGAAAGGAACTTTGACCAGTACTTACATGTCGGAGAAAATTTCTATCACTCCCATTAAAAACGTTTTGAAACTTTAATACTTGGAACGCTGTAAGTCGATCATGAATCCTTGGTCTGATGTAACGCAGGTGAGTAAGTTCATCAAAAGCTTGACGGATAGCTAAAGCAATCTTGAAGGTATGTTGATGGATTGCTTGCTGAGACATGATAGAGGCTTCAAGGTTGGAGCCGGCTGTGATGAAGTTGTTGAATGTGCAAACAAGGGCGAGCGAAGCCATGATGAAGACCTCTTCGGAGTCGTCCAAAAGCATCAGAGCGGCGATGTTGATCAAATCGAAGTGAAAGGAGGCATATAAGTGAACATAAGAGGGAGCTTGAGCGGTAGCAAACAGAGCAGAGAGGGTATGGGTACTTGCTTGAGCAATCCCAAGGGTGATTTTTTGCCGCTCGCCAACACGAGGCATGAGATGAAGAGGAGAAAAGTATGTAGGGGTCCTCAAAGCTATATACTTTGAGGCCCAAATATACTTTTTTTTTCCCTGCCAAAAAAAAATCGAAAAAAGTATGTATGACAACTATGTACGAACTATATACGTGTACATATGTAGCTTTGAGTACCGTAATTATATGTACGTGGTTCCCCTTCTGAAAACCGTTCAGAAACGTCTCAAGTGAATTGAAAATAAGACGTTTCTGGAACAATTAGGTTTCGGTTCCGAACTTCCGGTGCGATAATTTTTACCCCCTGGTGTACATCGGAGTGCTACGGATGCCAATCACGCGATGTACATCCCGTCCCTCTCCGCGCAAAAGGTCCGAGAGACGTGCTTTTGCGCGGAGAGGGACGGGTTAAGTTTAAGTTTGATAATTTGTCATGTCGCTTGGAAATTCAAATTTTAACGCATTGAACATATACTTACAAAATTTCAAAGTCTCTTCATCTCTTCTCTGTGTGGGAGTAAGTACAAAGATTTCCAATATCTGTTGCAGATCACGCGTATAACTTCTGTGAACTTCAGGCGGGCGGGCAAGGGCGGGCAGCTGTGAATCAGGATGAGCCCCGAGACCCGCCAAATCGGGGATACCCGCGGGACAGCCCGTCGGGTCGGGGGGTCGTTCTGGCCTTCGAAGGGTCGCAGAACCGCGGGGATTATCGGGCCCGGGAGTCGTTCTGAGAGTCAAAAGAAAGTGACTCTCCTCGGGGAACCCGAGGAAAAATCAAGCTGTAAAAAGCGGATAAATACACGCTTGGGAGAGGTTGTGCTCAGCGGTTTCTGCCGGAAATAGCCGGGGACTCGGGGATCCCCGTAATTTCCCGGGGATTTGGTAGTTCGTCGGGGGTCAGGGTACGGGAGCCGGGCTTGACCTATGAGCCAGAAAAAGCTCGAGGAATACCGGGGTCGGTCCTCGTTCTGACTTTTGAAAAAAAGTCGGTGGGCCGGGCAGCCCAGTCCCCGGCATTCGGGGGTCGGGGCTCATCCTGAGCTGTGAATGCTGGATGGCACATTCACATTATGCATATTTCGGGCGAAAGAGTGTCAGACAAGAAGTTGAATGTTGAGCCTTGCCCTTGACGGAGCCGCTAACAAATTAGCTAGCGGCGGGAAAGTTGCATAGCCCCTCCAATTGTCTATCTTCTTTGTGTTGAGAGTACACGACTGCGCCACAGCAGATCACGTGTTTTGTACAGCTGTATTACTTGTAGTCTTTCCGTTCGTCTCCGGCAGAAGCTTCCTTCCCTCAACCATTGTGGAAGCTGAAGCCTCGGAGTACGAACTGACGAACTTCTCGTCCTATTCATTATACTTTGGCCAAGAAGTTTTAGGCTTTAGCAGATTTTTGAAAATCCTCTTACAGTTTTTCACACACCCTTCCTACGTCTTATTCTGAATCTGGTTTGGCTTTGGCACCACTTTTACATAATTGAATACGCTGAACCACGAGGCTTGAGCGCCTGGTCGACAAAAACTTTGTGACAATTATTTGCCAAACTACTGTCATTGCACATTATACAGGATCGTTCCTTGTCAAATACGTACAAAGAAATATGAACATCCACTCGGGTATGGTTCTCAAACCTATGCAAAAATTTGTGCAAGTTTCGAGCAACTTCTGTGCAAGACATGAATAGAACTTGCACGGAACTTGCACGGAACTTGCACGTCGGTCTCGCACGGTTTTCGTACCAGTTGGAACAAAATAGCTGGGGTCGTCAAAAAATTTAATGCGCAAGATTGGTGCAAGAAATCTTGCACGGATCTTGCACGTCGGTCTTGCACAGTTCTTGCACAGGTTTGAGAACCATAAATGAAATTCGGGAAGCTTTCTAAAGGGAAGCTTCTATTCGTGATTGTAGTGTTTAGCAGACGTCATCTTGAGTGAGAGTTTTACAAACAACGGGCACTTTTGGAATAGCTCACAGTTGCGACATCGCTGCCTGCTAATGATAAGTTGAAGCGTTTGCCAGTCAGTCTTGCAAAGTGTGCACCATCCTTTAACACTGATTGTATGATCATCCCTTTCGCATCTTACTGCGACCAACGAGCTTTTGTATATCAAGGTGAAAGGCTGGTCCGATGAGTCTCCAGTCAACGACCCCATCTCCAGCATGGGAGATTTTATACGACCTGGCACGCAAGCAGATGTATCCACACCCATCTTACCTCCAGCGCTCAGCCCTCAAGGCATCGACAGTGTTGTGCCCTCTCATTGGGCTCTTATATGTGATAAGCGGTCTTAAACGGCTCTGTGATAGAGATGCTCGATGGCTCGTCAGGATAGACCGCGGCGGATACATGTATTTAAACGGGCATTTGGTCATCCCGATCTGGGGATGCATCTTCACCGCATGTCAGCATCCCGAGTCAATTTTCAAGTGGACATGATTTAACGATTCCAACCTTCACATGGCACTTTGCCTTTTCCAGTGAATCTCGCAGCCCTCGTATGCCTACAGGCAGAATTTTCATCTTTTCCCAAGTCGCAAACCCTTGTTCTGCACAATTTGACCAGTCCCCTTTTGCTCGCTTTTGGTAAGTCTCGAATCTGGCTGTGGACAATGTTGAAGTGTACTCAATCACTGATTATGCATCTTTCACTCTGCAAGGTTGGTCAAGAGGTAAGTTTTTTGTTCTTGATAGTCTTCATCACAATCTGATCATCATCTCTATCGCTCGAGAAAAGTCTGGTGCTTCTCATATGCGGCGCCCCCCACAGCTTTCCGATTGGATCCCCAGCGGCAACCCAGTTCTACAAATTATAACTATCGCAGATTTTTGGGACCCAAACTTTTCAATATCAGCAATATCGCGATGTACATCATCCCGCTTCTCTACATTTTACCTTTCACGATAATCAACGCCAAGAATGTACATGAGATCCGTCGTGTCTGGGCGCTGTGTGTTCAAACGCATGAAATGCTAACATCATTACAGAGAGAATCAGAAAATTCTTCCGAAGTTACCGATCTTACCAATCGTCTTCAATCAGATATGCTTCGGCGACTAGGCACTCTTCAAGCCCTCGGCGAGGACATCTTGCTTAATTCACGATACATCTGTTTTGGGTTGACAATCTGTCAAATAATCTTGTTATGCGTCTTTTCTTCAGCAAGCTGGCGGATCATGAACACACTTTGGACACAAGTCAAAACGCTTCGGGAATGCGCCACTCGTCGATGCCTGTCGTCATGTGCAGCTAACCAAAAACTTCGCGTGCCGACACCCACATACGAAGAATCAGCCGATAGAACAGAAGTCTATCAGCAAAAGTCGGTGTGGAACGCCGAAGTGACTGACTCGTTATGGCAATCCAGTCTGTTTGAAGATCGCCGAGAAGATTGGGAAAAGGTTGATGAGATGATGCTGAAACAGAAACATGATTGCCTACGTCGTTATGCTTTCAACGCTCTATGTCAAGCAATCTTGATCATCGTGACTACATCTGCGTTTCTTGCCCTTACCATTATTACGCGCAAGTCCTATTCACTTTCACACCAGCCCCGCAAATGCATTATAATCTGATATGATCGGACTCCATACCCAACACTCTGTTTAGTCACTAATGCCCTAGATGTTCCTCGTCGTACTCGACTCTTGGATTTGCAAGTGATCATGATCGTATGGCACAACGTCATCTGGAATTGCGGATTGGGTATCTCTTTAGGCGTAGTGAGTGATTTTTTTGCATACATGCGTTATGTTTTCTTTTGCGAAACCTCACCCCATGATGGCCGCGGCTATGTCTTAGGTTTCGTGCGTCGTGGTCTTTTCGCCTACACCGTCACCAATAACGGAGGAACACGCTCTCAGGCGCTGTGAAAGCGATAGTTTCTGATATCTTTTTGGAGGCTGCCAGATTTCCAATCCTCCAATCAGTCGTTTACTGGGGCGCTCGGTTATCTCGCCACCATCATGTCAACGCATGAATAGCCTTGTTTTTATCTAAAAAAATTCTTGTAGTCTCTTGGTCATATGAAACACGGCACTCTGCCTAACACAATCATTGTTAAAGGTTTCCTTTTCATTGTCATCTTCCTTCAATTGTTATTCTTTTCAACGTTATATCTGATGAAGCTTCGATCAGGTGGTCCATTTAATAAATTTAGTTTTTCTTGAGATCTAAACATTGACAAAGTATATCGTGGTGTGGGAGGCTTCAGTCACGCCATCCTAATTTCGGTCGCGCTCTATGAGATGTTTTCTCTTAACTTTGCTTCAAGCACATCTCTTGAGCAAATGATCACCAAGTGAAAGGCTTAAAGAGGGATTCAGATTGAGAATGGGGTTGTACGACGCCTATATACATGACAGAAGACCCTTTCTCGATTGGTTTGAATGCCTATGGATTCCAATCATTCTGTGTTTATAAGCGGGCCTTGCTTTTTGAGCAATTGACCACAGGTATTCAACAAAGCCTTTGTGCAAGCTACCATTTCATCCTAAAGAACCCCGGCTATAGGCTTACAAGGGCAGAGGCTTTATTCCAGCAAAATATGTATGGAGACAAGATAAATGAGGATTCCCCCCTGTATCAAGACTTTTTCACAACGTAGCAGAGCTTGACCTTGAAGTGATGATAAAACTGACTTGATCACAGTATTTGAAATCTGTGAAGCACGACGTTAGTGACAGAGCTGATTTTAAGCCTTGATTTGGGTCTTAACATTTCAGCGACATTCACATAATTCACAGCACCATACTACAGATTCACATCATACATTAAGACAGACAGATAAATAGATTAAGATAATTATATGATAAGGAACAACAAAAAATAAAAAAAAATGAGCCTATCAATAATCAGTTCAATTTATTTCTCTTTGACAAAAAAAAAACTACAAAAACTACAACAAAAAAACGTTTTAATCATTTTTAAATGTGACTTTCTTTTTCTTTCCTTTACTACTAGTTCCACTAACTGAAGATTCTGATGGTGGATGATAACTTGAACCCTTTTTGCGACTACCTTTCATGATTGATGAAGTTTTAGAAGTATTAGAAGAACCAGAAAGTGATCTGTCTCTTGTTCGAACGATAGGTTGTTCAAGACTACTTGCTTTGGAATAAGTTCCATCGCCTTTACGAGGATTTGATGAATCGTCTTGTCTAGAACCACTGGTAGGCACGCGATGTCTAGTCACACCCATACCGAGCTTAGTAGCAGTAGTGGTACCTCGATTGTCTTCAAGTGACACATTTCCTTCCCATAGGCCACTGTAAGACTTCTTAGCTTCCGGTGGATGGATATCCTTATCATCTGTAATGAGATCACGTTCAAACCGGGAGGGTGCCTGTGGTTGACGAAGATCTGAATGTGACACCAAACCGGGGATTGTAACAGTGCGAGATTTGTGATGTGATAGGATCCAATCCCCTAAGATTCCATGTGTCATCGCTCCAAGAAGCCCCATGAGGACACCTAGGGTCACGCCGGATGCCAGAAAGACCAATAGTGGCTTGAGAGCTAGGTAGATACGAGTCGCAATGATGGTGGGGAGCCTTATGAAAATGTAGAATAGCAGGCGAAACGGCAACAACAGCGGGCTTTGTTTTGACAAATCAAAGAGAGTATCTGGATCAGTCTTATATTCCACGTAGTTTTTGATTCATGAATACATATCCAGGAGAAGCTTACAAGATGATATCCTCCCACAAGAATTGCAGGATTTGCACTAGAATCATTCCGCATCCACTCGCCAGTCTCCAACCGGTCATGAATACGAATTTAACCATTTCACCGACTAAACGCAAACACCTCGCGATCAACCGGTAAGGAAAGATATAATCTTTGAGCCAAGGAAGCTTTTTCAACGTAGTTGAGATATGAGCTTTTGATTGATTTCGTGATTTTGACTTGATCGGAATGTTAGATTGTCGAGTGTTAACTTCTCGATCAATCACAGGATCAGGATCAATTATCTCATCTGACATAATCTCAGAAGAGACTTGTAAAGATTCATCCTCTGTTGGTTGCCAAGCTGAGAAAGCTTGACTTGGGGATATAGACTGAAGCATATGTTTGTTATCTGAGGCATTCGAATCGGTTCCAAAAACCTTTTTGAGAATGTCTTCTTGAGTGTCATCGATCTCAAATTGATCATCCGTCGATGTTGGTAAACATACCGTATTCGTCGTAGCTTGGTCGGTGACAACGACTGGTAGTTTATAGATCAGAAGAGCGGCCTGAATTGGGAACGAGTATAGAAGACCGGTCGGTAGATCGATCGTGCATCGTGCCAAAGAAGATGTTACGAGGCCAGTAGAGAGCGCGGTCAAGAGTTTACACATTAACATCGACCCTGAGCAAAGGCGAGAGGATTTTAATAACTTCATGCGCTACGGTTTCGAGTAAGATGCTCGAATCGTCGTTCTGGGTATCCGGATTACTTTATATGTTGAAAGAAGCACTGGATTGGAGTCTCATGTGTGTTAAGTTTGACGAATCGATTGAGATGGAAAACTTCGTATTGAAAGAGTTATGAGATTTAGTGGTGTAGTCTGCGGGTAAATCTTCATTGGTTATATAGAGACCGACTTCGATCAGACAACTCATAGCGAAAACCTTTCCAAAAGGTCATTCATGCATTAACCTAAAACTTTGTCTGCAATCGACTTTTCGTTGGAGACTTGCCTGCCTTTGCTGAAGAAGGCATATGCAATCTAGTGTTTTTGGTAATGAGTTACAAACAGTCCTACTCAAGTCCACCTTCTGATACAAGTCCACCTTCTGATACAAGTCCACCTTCTGATACAAGTCCATATATAACATGTGCTAACCTGTGCCAATGGGCAGTAATCTCTGGTACTACTAGAACATAAAATATTTCCGCAAGACTTGGTCGCACGAGGGAATGAAATCAAGCCTGTCAGCACCAAAACATAAAGCCTGATTGGGGTAAACAAAGCTCACTGCCAATCTCATTCAAAAATATAGAACTACATGGTGGAGGCGCAGACTACCTTGCTTTCCGTAGTGCTATCACCTCTAAACTGTACCACTCTGCAGATGGACCCAAAAATATGATTGCACCAACATTTTCGTATCAAGTCTGCAACCTACCTCTTCTAAGCAGCAATCAATCTCAAATCCACTCGTCACCTTCAATACTCCCTATTTTCAAATTCAAGAATATTTGTTACATCTCAAGAAAAAAAATCAAAACTAAGAATGATATTAAAAGATTGATAGAAAATCATTAAACCAAAAAAAATAAGAATGAAGGAATGATTAAAATGCAACAATCTTACAGAACCATACGCTCACACACACACACAAAAGAAAATTTCCGATTGAAGAGATACCAAATTACAACAAATCAATTAGGTTTACTAAGGGATATGTCTGATATGGGAAAAGACTTGGAAACAAATTAGTGAAAGAAAGGTAAACAAATGCTGATTATGGATTTTCAAACTGGTTGACATTGAGGAATTCAAAGGCTTAGGGATATGACTCTGAATCGGTATGCTGGTCATCTATTCGACTAGAATAGAATTGATCCAAAGATCCAATCAGCCTCTGTTCAGCTTTTTAGTCTACCTCATGTGATAAGACTTTTTACCTTGGCCCACTGTGTTGATGAGACGGATGGAACCCATGGACTGCCAAGAAGAAGAAAAAGTGAAGACGAGAGTAAGTTTTCGAAAAGGGTTTGAATCAATCGGGAAGCTCAATATTCTACATGGAAATACCGAGACGCGTCAGCAAGATTTGGGGAAAAGATGGGAGAAGTATCACCGTACAAACTAATGTGGGCACAGAGCAAAAGATAATGTCACGATATCACACATGAAACTGAATGACGATCTCTTAGACTGTTTCGAGTTAGCCCCATGGATTTAGACTTGATTGACACTCGCGCTACCTCTTGAAACGCTTCTTGAACACCTCGATTGTGCTTCGCCGAACATTCCAAATAACGAGAGGCGCGCAACCGTCGAGCTGCAGCCAAACCCTTTGAAAGATACGCGTGAATTATTGATCAAGATGATGAGCAAAGGGAATAGAAAGTGAACTGAACTTGTTCATAATCAACAGGTCGTAGACCATAATTGGCCAGATTATTCTGAGTACGAGGGTCATCTCGAAGGTCGCATTTGAGTGCTAGAGATGAACGAAACCAAAAAGATAGGAGTCAGACATTGAGTTCCAAGGAGGACCATGATGAAAAACATGAAGCTATGGATGAGGGAATATTAAGCATACGCACCCACAAGACATATCTTGACACCCGGACAATGTTCAACAATTTCATCTAGCCACTGTTGAATGAATTCAAAAAACGGCTTGAGTAAATGATCAATATGTTGAACCAAGGATATGACTGAATGACCTTCGATTCTGTATTCTCGAGTGAAGTCGGCTGATCAACCCTGGAGAAAAGAGAAACCGCATAGTCTATGTTATTGCTGAAATTTACGCGTTTTCTGGTTTTCTGGATGAGTTGAACTTGAAGTAGAGAAGAAGACTAACGAAAAGCAGAGCATAATCACATGTGTATCTGCATAAGACAAGGACCTGAGTCGATCAAACTCTTCCTGCCCTATGAGTAAAAAATAATCAACATTTCAGTTTCCCATTGAACTTAGACCCATTGATGAAGATCAGGAATAGATGAAAATGCATACCAGCGGTATCCCAGAGGGCAAGCTCGATGGTGTGATCGTCACTGAAATGATGACAAAAGATTGAGAATAACAAATAAATGATATTAGGTAGGCAAACGTACACAATGACCTCTTGCATATGGTTTTCAAAAACGGTAGGTTCATAAACCTGTGGAAAGTGACCTCGAGCGAATACATGCAAGCTGGAATTGGCGCGTTTGAATAGTTCCGAAAAACTGAAAATCAGTTTACTGTGAATTGCTAAGGCGCAAGTGAGATTATCATCGCACAGTGATGTTTTTCCACAAGCCCCATCTCCAAGTACCACTATTTTCCGATTGATCTAAGACCAAACGCGAATGATAAGATCGTTCAAGTCAGTTTGAATGGTTTTTAATTTGAAGATCGCGTATACGAGTAACTAACCGGTCTTTTACCGCCAAATCTATTGCTGCTCGTTGGATTCGAGCAGAACTGTAACATTTTAGCCATAGGGGAGTAATTTCACTTGGAAAGGTTTTCCTTGGTATTGAAAGAAAGACTTAGGATCCAAGGAATGACTGATATGAATTCCAGAAAGCAGACTGGGTTTGTTGATAAGATTGAAGTGTAGGATGATGACCACAGTTGAAATCAGATAATTTCTTGGGGATTTGTGAAACGCGGTGAATAACACTTTGACTGGTTGTGAAGGTGTGTTGGATGTGGAATCGAATTCGTTTTTAGAAACGGTTCACCGTTCAATTGCATACAAGTCAACTTTCAAATTCATTATTGCGGGTCACAACATCTCACACATCCCCGGACCCCACACGAGTACCGTGATTGCATTTACTCCAACGGTACACCACGGGGTAAACGTCCTCGGCCTCGTCTGGCGACCGGGACATTCAACGGTGACTGAACCCGTTCTGAATTGAGGGCCACCACGTGGCATTCTCGCACTGTTTCGAACCTCATCTCGCCTGGTCATAGAGACCAACCGGCTGTCAGAGACCGATTGAGCTGCGTCTCTGACACGGTATTGTTGAGGTCAGTTTTGCATCAAAACTGAGCAATTGCCTGCAACGCTTGTCCCCGCTATTGCACCGAAATGTGCAACCATTACTTGTTTTGTGGTGTTGTATGGGGACTTTGACACATTTTACACCGCAATTGCAGTGGTTGGTGGAACAAGAGCTGTGGCCATTTCAGCGCAAAAGGGATGTTTGGAGAGTGACCAGATAAATTCCCACTGAATTTCTCTTCACATGGCCTCTCAATAATCACTTAAAAATCCTCAATGTCTTCATCCTCCCATCTTTCATTGCTATACATACAACATTTGAAAAAAATGGTGTTCTGTAACTTGAAGATTTGATAACTCATCTTGAGAACAGCTGATATAGATCAAAGCAGCTATTCAAAGTGTTTCTGTTATTTCTTCTTCAGAGAAAATGAATCACAAGAAATGGTTGAGGAGCTTCCCCAATGTGAGTTCAGTGCTGAATTTTGCATGTGCAGAACCTTGTAGATGAGTTGCTGACCCCAACATCTTAGTCATTCACTCCTACTTGGGTGCCAATAGTGCAACCCACTAATAAAGCTGCTCTCTTTGTTGCAACAGAACAATGGCAGATTTCACAAACCACATGACAACTCCTACCCACCAGAAAAAACTGGCTACATGTGAGGCTCTATTGGAAAAAGAGCAGGCAATCAACAAGCCCTGATGCAATCAATAGGCGCCTCACAAGCTTGGGGAGAAGTGACACCTCTTCCACTGCTTCAAGGGGCGCATCTTTGCTCAGACAAAGCTCCCTGGAGAGGAAATCAGCTGGGTGCTCTATTCAAAGGGATGATTCACCAAGTTTGGTTAAAAGACAGAAGAGGTCACCCTCAGTTGAAATCCAATCACCTGGGACACCATCTATTCCACTGCAGAGACATACATCAATGTTGTGGGATTCTACATCCTCTGGTCAACAATATGCCAGAGCTTCTAATTCACCCCCATCACTCTGTAATATGAGCAAGGCTGCCACTATACTATACTATACTATACTGTGACTATACTTGGTATAGTATAGTTCAACTATACTGTACTTGAACTATATGGTATAGTATAGTACAACTATACTCATCTTTACTATACTATACTGTGCAGTATAGTTGAACATGCTGATGGAAAACTTGTGTAACCCTTGTCCATGTATAGTTGATCAATTGATACTATACCGAGTATAGTTGAGAAACATATAGTTTCAACTATAATATACTGAGTATAGTATAGTACAATTTAAACTATACTATACCCAACTATACTCATACCAGTATAGTATAGTGACCCTCATATTATCAGTGCTACTGGTTTTGCAAAGTCTAATATGTCAAGATCACCCTCTGTTGAGATGCAATCTCTTGGAACACCATCTATTCCACTGCAGAGACGTACCTCAGGTTCATTGAATTCTCCATCCCCTGTGCAACATGTTCCAGAGTTCTCAGGG